CAAAGGATGCTGTAGCCATCAAGCCATTGGTCACTACAGCCACTCCCAATGGTGCACTCTGAGGGGACTCAGGATGGGAAAGAACAGGATACTGGCCCTAGACACCTAAGGTGCATATCAAAGGAGAGGTTTCAATGAGCCCAGACTCTTGCATCTTCCCACACATAGAAAAGCACTAAATTCCTTAACCTGAGAGCTACCTGAGAGGCAGCCTCCTGGGCTTGAGGTCCTCAGAAAAGTCCACCAAATAAAACATAATTCTCCACTTTTAAGTTGTGTATTTTTTTCAGTCAACACCTCTGATTGGATCAGAGACATAAACACACAGGAGAGAGAGAGAGAGAGCCCAGTAGATTTGGGAGAAGAACATTCCAGGTTGAGAGGAAGACCAGAAACAAGGAACCCTAAAATGGGACGATATTCAATGTAGCTGAAAGGCAATGAGGAAGGAAGAAAGAGACAAAGGTAAGGTTGGAAAAGTAAGAGAGTAGCCAGATTGCAAAGGCCTTTGTTGGCCAGAGATAAAATTTTAGGTTCTCATTCTGAACAAAATGGTGTAGTAGACTGAATGCAAAAATGTAGTAATCATTCCCCTCATATGGCCACGTGCCTTTGTACTGTGGCTCTGTAGCTCTCTCTCAGAATGAATCTTGCTGGACTTTATCACTTACTTTAATATATAGAATGCAGCAAAATTACACTGTATAATTTCCTAATTTCCATGCCGAGGCCTCAACAGGACTTGCATGGGGTAGCTTTCTTGGGACTTTGCCAACTGCCATCACAAGAAGCCCAGGCTCGCTTGCCAGAAGGTAAGAAATCACCTGGACCAGAGGTTAGTCTACTCATTTGTCCTGGCTATGTTTCAGAGAACTTGGTGAAACCGGCTGAGATCAGCTGAACTGTGCTCAGCTCAGCAGAACTCCTTTCAGTTGACTGTAGATTTTCAAGTTATAATCAATGGTTGTTATTTTTAGCCACTAAGTTTTAAAGTCCTCTCTAATGCAGGTAAAGTAAACTAATGGAGATGCAGAGGTTTTTTTGTTTTTTTTTTTTAGTTTTATGAAATGAACTGCATGTTTAGAGGTGATAAAAAAGTGATTCAGTTTGAATATATATTTGAGATTAGAGCCAAAAGCATTTTCTAATGGAGTGGATGTGAGGTGTGAAAGAAATAGAGAAGACAGGAATGACTCTAACATCTTGGCCATAGCAACTGAACAAATGGTGCTGTCACTGCTCAGACAGGGAAACTGGAGGAATAGCTCTTTGGGGAGGGAGAATTATGAGTACAGTTTTGCACATGTTAAATTAGATGTGTTTATTAGGTATCCAGGCTGAGATGTCAGATAGGCAACTGGTTAAAGAGTTCAGGAGTGAAAACTGGGTAGGGTTCTTAAATGAAGGAATAAGTAGCATTAAAAAAAGTAGATGAGATGACTCAGAGGGTGAAGGGGAGAAAACCAAAGATTGAGCCTTGGGTATCCACGATTTGGAGCTTGGGAAGATGAGGAACATCTTGTATAGGAAGCTGAAAATGAGGGTTCCTACAGAGTTGCAGATAAAGCAGAGAGAAGCAAAGTAAAAACAGTTTCAGGAGAGGCAAATCAATTCTATCAATAGCTGCTTATAGGTCAAGAAAGCTGGCAAATGAGAAGTGAACATTGCATTGGGCAATAGAGAGATTTTTGCTGAGTTCGATATGAGTATGTCCTGTGGCAGGTTGAGAAAAGCCTGGTTGAAGTGATCTCAGGAGATAAAAGAAGGAAGTATGGAGTCAGAGAAGACAGAAACTGAAAAAAAAGAAAAAACAGACTCAGAATAGCTATTATAGAATTACTAGTTCTAAAGCTTATCAATTTAAGGCAGGCCTTATGGCTAATAACTCACACCAAATTCCATATATTTTGCACTATTCCTGACAGAGTTACTGAGGTTGTTTAAATCTGGAAAAAGAAAACACAAGTTATGTGACATATTTTAAAAGCTTAAAAAAATAAGGTAGTTTTGTCAGAAAAGAAAGAAAGAAAGAAAGGAAATTTGCTGTAAATTGGAACAGAGAAAAGGGACCCAAACTAGAAGGGAGGTGGGGTTAAGAGACTTTTGCTTTGTTTAAAAAAAGATTTGAGTTTTTATGGCTTGTTAAAATGCTAATAAAAATTATTTTATCTAGAGGTAAAAACTGATGATAAACAGAATGTAAGGACAATACACAGGACAAAGTTCTCGACTAGTAAGATTAGATGAAGCCCAGAGCACTGGCTGCTCTCAGGGCTGGCAGGAGGCAAAGCAGGGAGGACACCTCAAAGGAGGAGGAAGCACTGCTGGAGGTACGTGGAATTTGTCTTCTGATTTCTTCTCTTCTTTCAATGAGACTAGAAGCAAAGCAATCAGGCAAGTTTGAAGACTGTGGTGCAGGATTAGATAATGGAAGAAAAAAAGGTAATGGTCTAGAAAAACACAAGCTAGTAGACTAGGAAAATTGAGCAGAGCTACCAAAGAGCCTGAGGGTCTTCCAGGAGTCACAAGCAAATGTGTAAGCTGAGATCATTCTGCCTGGCTGTGTGGAGAGTGGGCTTTAACCAGGGTTGTGAGTTAAGTGTCACAACAGGAATGAGAGGGTTTGATGGGTCATAGAAAGTAATGTGACTAGACACAGAAGGGGAGATATGAGAGAGGTTATAAAAAGAGTAAAGATGAGAGAGTCAGGGGATTTGAGATCCTGATTTAAGGTTTTCTTTTTTTCTTTTTTTTCAAAACTAGAATACCAGAGGAGTAACCTGGACATACACAAGGTAGCGTTTGAAGAGGGATGTGCTTGAAAACAAGATGTCTATAGAAAATGACATTTTTGGTAAACAAGGTCTAGGACATTGGTTTTCAACAGGAATAATACTGTACCCTAGAGATTTCTGGAAAATTTGTGGGCAATTTTTATTGTCATGATAACTAAAGGTGATGCAGGAATTTATAGAGGCGGCACCAAGGAAGTTAGATGCTTCAATGCTGGGAACAGTAAATCTCTATTCATTGGCTTGTAGCTGTTGCATTCACAGTAATTCTACATCTTTTAATATGTTTATTTAACTCATTTAAAAATAGAAAACATCAGTGTGAAATTGGATACTATAGACTGGTCTACAAAGGAACCAATGTGAACTCTGCCTATACATTATTTTCCAATGAAACAATCAGCCTGCTAAAAAAAAAAAATACAAAAAAGGATGCTGATAACATTAGCAAGCATATATCATATTTTCAAGATTTAAAGAAAAAGTTTGAAAAATCTAACATTGTCTCTGGAATGATTTAAAAAATTCTTCTAATAAAAGCATAATTTTCTGCTTGCTTCATACATGTGCAAATGTGGTCACAAATGGTGCCCTTCATGGCAGTGAGGAAAATTAACTTCACCAACCATATAAGATGTTTTTTGGTATGCTGACATAAGAAATCCAAGTGAAATAATTTTTCTCTTCCATTGAGCAAAGATACTGCTCGACAAAAAATTGATGAGATGGCAAAAGATGTTAAAAATTAGCTGTGAGATGAACTGTAGTGAAAATGAATTTTCATTACAAGTGGATGAACCGTCCTTTGGACAATGAGGCTTTACCACCTGCATTTAAAAGGCTCATACGGAATGAAAAAAAATCATAGAGGAAATGTTATTTTTAAAATTACTGATAATAAATATGAAGGGCTTGTCCATATTTGAAATTCCCAAAAATTACTTTTATGAGAAAGGATAATCCCTCTTTTGGGGTCACTGCTTCTGCTACAGATGGGACTGCCAGCTATGGGCTGTTGGCAATGTCGGTTTATAGCTAACTTAAAAAATTGCACCAGGTGTTTTAGCGATGCGTTGCATTATTCATGAATTACATGTAGTCCTCGAGAATTTTTATGAAAAACCCCACAAATCAATGAATGTTTTAATAGTGTTAATAACAAAATTAATAATAAATTCTTTAGTCACTGATTACTTCATAGAGAATACACTCCAATAAGTGTTTGAACATCTTATTCTAGACACAAAAGATAGTTCTCAAGGAATATACTTGAAAACAGGTTCTGTTTACTATTGAATATTGTTTCATTTTAAAAATTCTACCAAAAGAAAATTAAGGATCAAGCCTGATATATTGTGAGTGGATGGGACATATTTTTCATGTATACTCGGCCACCTTAAACCGCAGCAGAACTAGATCAATTTCATTAAAATGAAGCAGGTAATCACGGGATTTATCAACAGACTTAAGCTATTTAAAAATAACCTTGCTGCTGAGAATTTTCAAAGTGTCTGTCTTTGCAACACTTTAGATATTAAAGATATTAATTGAGAACAGATTACTCTCATTTTTATTAATAAATAAGATATGATAGTTGGATTTAAAGTTCCGAAGGAACTATATAATACCAGATTGGATGATTAATCCATTTAAAATGATTGTGAAACATGTCAGCCAAGATATGCAAAAGGAGTTAACTGGGCTAAAGCACAACTTTTAGACCAAAGCACAATTTAATTAGTCTAATTATGAAAGGATCTGGATCCATTTAAGACTTTCATAGCCACATCTTTAAAAATAAGTTAAATTACCAATAGCTTTTTCTTCTATTTAACAATACACAAATTCTAAGAGATTCCAGATTAGTAGCACAGTTTCAGTAAAAGCAGACAAACTATTTGGTAAAATGTAAGATGTAAAATAGAAGAATTCTAAAAATTTAGAACCAACTACTATGAAATTAATGGAACCACCCCAATGAAAGTTACTTTAAAACTACTTACATGTTAAAAATCTTTTTTTAATTTCAGAAATCTATGCCATGAAAAGTATATACTGAATTTATTTACTTATGATTTTTTTTCAGTTTTACTCTGAAATTGTGCCCAGAGATTTACCTCATAATTTCTGTACAGCTTCTTTTATTACTTGCTTAGATTTCTTGTCCATATTCAATTACTTTGCCTATCTCCGAGAATGTCTGCACAGCACAGACTGAATGCATCTTTGGACATGTGGCTGGCTCTGGGATGAAATGTTTCCGGGGCACTGAATTGTTTTGAAAGTACATTTATAAATAGCTTATTCACAAGAATATCAAACTTCCTCATTTTTGGTCAACAATTGACAGATTGTAATTTATCTTAGCATGTTATACATACTTCAATTAAGTATTTTTCCCCCTTTATCTGTGATCTTCTACAGATAAAACTGGTCTGTTATTAGCTTAGAGTCCATCTCTACCTTTGCTCTTTCATTTTTCTTGAACTTCTCATGTGGGATAATTTCTCATATTGCTTTCCCTGATCCTAACTTACTTATTATAATTAAGTGGGGTGTAGAAATAGGAATATAGTATAATTATGAATGTACAATAACATTCCATTATTCTAAATTGATTTAAATTTACTTAAAAATTATAGTTGAAGATAGAGAGCATCATTTGGAAGGGAAAGGGGTCTACAGAATATTTGCTTTTATAAAGGGGGTATTGGGTCCAAAATGATAGTTATGGCCATAAGTTAGCAACATTTGCTAGGAATTGGGTTGATGTTAACTTTGCTAGTTCTGATCCACAGATCATAGCCCTTTGTAGATCTATGGTCTATGTGTAGACTTTGTGTGTTAGGTGCAGCATTGCTCACATTTTACGTACCGCATTATATATATGATATTCAGTAGCTTACCCTTCTAAATGAAAAGATAAAAGGACTATAGATGAGTAGATTCTTAGTGAGTTGTTCCCCGCCCTCTCCCACTCCCACTAATTTGGTTAGAGATAGCCAATACAGAAGATTCTTTAAACATGTGGATGAGGATAGAAACTCAATCCTTAACCATTACACATTTTCAGGACTGACTTTAAATTAAATTTTAGGCTATCATTAGCTATGTACCACTATTCTCAGATTTCTTTTATAGTCTCTTGTTTTGATGACCTTTTCGTACTTCGGTCTTTGCTTAATTTCATTCAGAGGTAGAAAATATGGTAATTTTTAACAACTCCTTGGTAATTCTGCAAATAAAAAGGAAGTTTTAAAAAGGCAGATTTAAAAAGAAAAGAATTGATTTGATTCCAAAGCTGGTATTAACATATTTTAATGCAGAGGAAAGATAAGGAGCAAGATGAATCTTAAGGTTATAAGAGGTCCATCAAATTGACCTACATGAGCTCACAGAAGTTACACATTTCCTAAGGCCAAGGAACTGTTTCATGACCTTGAAGGGTATATTAGTATTTCTATTTAAGTCATTACATTTTCAAACATTGGAACTGCTCAGATTTGGTTCACTGCACAAACCAATCACTTAGAATGTTAAAGAGCATGACTTTGGTCTCCCGGAGACAGCTCTTCTGTAATTGAGCTCTCGTTTGCACGGCCTGTCTACCTTCCCTGTTAATTTTTTTTTTCTTGGTCCTTTTTTTTTTTTCCCTTGTCAGCCTACATTGTGAATGCAACTGATAGAACAAACACCAACACCTAACACTGGAAATTCTCTCCTCTGAACTCATTTGAAACACATGCTGAGGTTCTCAATCGGCAAGTTTTATAAAATGTCAGAACGTTTTAGAGCTGGGAGTGATCGTTGGATGCATATTACAATCACACAGGGAGCTTAAGAAAATACTAATGCCTCAGCCCCACCTTCAGAAATTCTGATTTAACTTGTCTGGGGAAGACTGCAGGCCCCTATGTTTTTAAAAAGTTTTCCAAGCAATTTTAATGTCCAGCCAATTTGAGAACCACTGGGCTAGTCCCATTCGATCAGATAAAAACAGAAATTCATACAGGACTTGACATAGCAAAGGGCACACAACTAGACATCAGAATAGCTGAGACTAAACGTCAGACCTCCTGACATTTAGTACAGTCTTTACACTGTTTGAAAACTCCTTCTCTGAGAGGCGTCCTTACATAAAAACTTTCGACGTAAATCCGGGATGGCCTTCAGTTGTGGAGCTAAGCACAGGTAGGCGCCTTTCTCTAAGAAACCAGTTTCATCTGATATGATACATTGAGTAAATATTCCATTTTCCATTAAAAGGAGGAGGGGACTGTGTTTTGGGCTGATTGATAATTCACAGAATGGTGATACTCAAATAGTCTCCACCCTTGAAGAGAGTCTACAGAAAGGCAGGACAGTCTGCGCTACAGCTCAGTCGCTCCGAAGCTTGGGACGTGGCAAAGATCTCTGGCTGACAATTCACACCAGAACAATCTTCAGCTGTATTATTCACAACACATCATTACTGTTGATTGTTCAGATGAAAATGGTCTCACAATTGCAATGAATCATCTGCTTTCAGAGTGACAGACCTTACAATTGCAACAGCAGGACATACAAAGGGAACGGCTTAAGGGCGGACATTTAACCTTTGTTTACAGTGTTCTTTTAATATTGATGTTGATCTTTCAGCATCCAGAGATTGGATGGACAGTCTCAACAATGGCAGTTGAAAATTACGTTTGTTTTTAAATTTTGTTTTCTTGTTTGTGTCCATATTATTGCAAGTAGTAGGGCTGACAGTATTTTTGTATGTTCTCTATTTTCTTTAATGATGTTTTGGCCAAAGAAAGGGTACATTTACTCTCTGGATGCATATGTCTAATGTAGAATTATACATGGAATTACTGCACCTTGACATGTCCTGCCTTCTTTCAAATAAAATATTTCCCTTGAACCTGCTCTTTCCTGATCATTCGGAAAACAATGGGTTAGTCAACTGTCTTGAAATTGGCAAATGTTTAGTTTTCCTTACCCACAAAAGTATGCTCAGCTTGAATGTTTGGTGTATTATTATGGATTTCTAGAATCTGGCAAACTTGTGAATATAGGAAAGAGCAAATTGGAAAAAAAAACAACATTTAAATTGCTTTATCTCCAGGTGATAAAACTTCATGAATAGTTGAAAGGAGAAAGACATAAGAATGAAAAGGGTGGAAAATCCCAGAAAACTAAAAACAATGATTAAATGTTATGTAAATGACTATGCAGATGTTTCTAAAGCTTGTGATTATTTTTAAGTGTGGCTAGCAAAAAGGATTTATTAAAAGTTCAGTTGAATACGGTGAGTTTGAATATCATTCACATACACATATAGTGAGGTATTGAAAATTAATGAGGAATTAAATATCATGAGACTTTAAATCAATTTCTTTTAAAAAGATGTTAGAGAACAGAAAGAGAAGAGATGCTTTTACTTAAAGGCAGAGTTGGAAATCTTTTATCCAGGACACTAGAAGGAATGTTTATGAATAAAAGAATTAAAGCTCGGAATTGAAAAAATATATATATAAATCAGCAACAGTCATTTTTTATGGATTATTTGATTCAAAATTACAGCATGAGAAAAAAATGTATGCTTTAATTCAGTGTGAAGGAAAAGATTTAACTTTTTGGAAATAGACTGAGTATCTTGTCATAGGGGACTCAAAAAAGAGTTTATTTGATTGGAACTAAGAAGTCTGAAGGTCACTGCATCCAACCAACCAACCAGTGCTTGCCACTGATGTTATTCAAACAGAAATTCTTTCATTCACATTAAATAAATTATCTTGACATATTTTATATTTTATGATTAGAATAAATATAGACAAAATTATTTGAAAGTATAACTTACTCTTCTGGGCTTTCTATTATTAAAGTTCTCAGATTCTCTTATCTTTCAGATTTGAAGTATTTAGAAGAAAATCTAATAGGAATAGCTCTCTCTTCTAGACTGTAAATACCTCAAGGGCCAGGATCAAGTTTTATTTCTTTTTACGTTCTCTATTGTGCTGAGTACTTACCATAAGATAGATTCTCAATACACATTTGTTTAATAAATGAGGAGGATGAATAAATAAATAAATGATTAATGTTGCTTTTCCTCCAAGATAGTATGCACAGATTGTATTTGTATGTTTTCATTCGTATTTTTTTTCTTCATTTCTCCACTTCCTCTACTGCCAAAACAGACTCAGATGCTGCTCAACACAAAATAACTGGTATATATGATTTCATGGCTATTTTCTGCAACTTCAGACTGGGGCAGACAGAAAAGGAGAGAGGAGAGGAAGAGGCATGATTTACACAATTTAGAAGGGAGTTGAGATCTTCCCTCATTACCTCCTCCGGTAGCCCTTTAGGAATTCTTAAGCCCACTGTCTCCTCCAAAGCAGAGAGAAGAAGTGTAGTGAATGGGGAGGAAGGTGATAGCATAAAGGGAGCACTTAGCCTCCTGGACAAGGGGAAACTAAACTAAACTAACACATGATGGTTCAAACATTTCATCCTTGAAACGATTCTCTTGGTAATTTCCATGCTTGCCTTGGGAAATTTCATCAGCCCTTAAAATCTCCATTAATACTTTATTGCTGATGACACCCACTTCTTTGACGTTAATCCCAACTTCTCATCTGAATCTTGGTCTCAGATATTGAGACATCTGTTGTGTATTTCTCTGTAGCAGTCTGGAAATACATAATTTCCAAAGTTGAATTCTCAATTCTGCTTTTGCTGCATCCCGTAAGCTTTCTCATGTTGTGTTTTTGTTTTTGTTTGTCAAGATATTTTCAAATTTCCTTTTTGATTTCTTCTTTGACTCAGTATTTAAGAATGTCGTGTTTAATTTCATGGATTTCTGTATCTTCCCATTTTTCTTACATTATTGATTTCTAGTTTCTTTCCACTGTGATTGGAAAAGACACTTGGGATGCTTTCAATCTTCTTAAATTTGTTAAAGACTTGTTTTGTGACCTAACATGTGATGTTTCTTGGATAATGCTTTATGCGCACTTGAGAACAATGTGTATTTTGCTATTGTTGAATGGAATGTCCCATATATGTCTGTTAGGTCTGTTTGATTTATAACATTGTTCAAATCTGCTGTTTCCTTACTGTTTTCCTGTTTAGACAACTGTGTTTTTGAAAGTGGGGCATTGGTTCATGTGATGGTATTCTATAAGTCCTATAGGCTTTCATCACCCTATTTCATTATTTTTTTTCTTTTTGTTCCACTAAATGGATGATTTCAAGTGACTTATCTATACATTATCTGATGCTTTCATCTGCTTGATCATGTCAGCCGTTGATGCTTTCTGTTGAATTTTTCAGTTCAATCATTGGTTTTCTTTTTATGATGCAGAACTTCTGTTTGGCTCCTTTTTCAAAGTTTTCTATTTATTTTCTGAACTTCTCCTTTTGTTCATGTATTGTTTTCCTCATTTTGTTTAATTGTCTGTGTCTCTTGTAACTCACTGAGCTTAAGACAATAATTTTGAATTATCTGTCAGGCAACATATAGACTTTATTTCTTTGGGGTCAATTGCAGGAGCTTTATTTTGGTCCTCTGCTGGGTGTCATGCTTCCTGACTTTTTCTGTTCCTTGTAGCCTTGCACTGGTATCTGCACACTTGAAGAAACCCTCACTTCTTCCAGTTTTTATGAATTGGTTTGGGGAGAAAAGACCTTCAGCAGTCAGGCTGGCTAGAGATTTTGGAGCTCTTTCAAACTTTTTCTATAGCTGTGCCCACTCTACTCCTCTCACTCTGTCTTGGGTGTGCATGTGGGGTGGGTGGAGGACATTTAGAATTCCATATCTTGTCTCAACTCTGCAGAGTCATACCAGCTGCTGAGATTCCTCCCACTCTATTTCCCTAGGGTAGTGTTGGGGGCAAGTTCCACTCCTCCCCCTCCCTACTGAAGGAGATGTCTTAAGATTATATACCTTCTTCTTAGCCTGCAGAGCTGTGCCCAGTGCTGAGAGCCCCCAGCCCCTTTTCCCTAGGATAGAGACGCCAGAATGAGAGGTGATAGCCCTACTACTCTCCCTCCTGCCTGAAGGAGCAGCCTCAGGGTCGTGTATTTCTCCTAATCCCATAGAGTTCAGCCTGCTGCTGAGATCTGCGTGTGCAAGCACTGTCTGCAGGGATGCACAGAGGAGAGCTTGGGGCCTTGCAGGCATTAGCTGCGGGTGCAAAACTGGCCTGGCTCGTGGGGCCCATGGATGCGGGCTGGTGGGATCTGTGGCTAGTTGTTGAGATCCACATACCAGTTACTATGAGTCCCACTCTTTTACTTTGTTCTTAGCTTCCCCCAGACTGTGCAGTTATGCACAGTCCCTCAGTGCTCCGGGTGAGATGAGACTGAAACAGGCATCCCGGACAGCACTCCAAGAGGCTGAGGAAGCCACAGGCTGTCTTCTCCTTTCCTCTGTGGGAGAATCTGGACCAAGGCATTTTTCTCAGCTCTGAGCCGTGCTGGTTTGGAGGAGGGGCCATGCAGATCAAGTGAAACTCTTCTTCTTACTCTTCAATGTGGCTGTTTCTGGATTTTTTGCTTCTCAAGAATACCAGGACATCTCAACTGGACTCCGGAGTTCCATAAAGGTATTTTCTTTCATGGATGGCTTTTAAACTGGTGTTTCTGTTGGGGGCATGTGGGCTGGGACTTCCTATTCTACCATTTCGCCAATGTCATCCTCTCAAATTAATTTCTCACAATCTCAAATTCCTTGCATTGTATATACCAGAAAAACAGAAAACTCTTACTTGCTCTTGGAAAACCTGATAAAACCACAAGGTCTGTCTTTGGCTTGTTCCATTTCTAAATGTTTCTTTTCTCCCCTTACCTCCATTTATGCCAAAAAATCTATATTTATCTTTAAAAATCTGACTTTATATTTAACACTAAATAGTATTAGTAATAACATAATTGCCATAATCATGGGAATAACATATTCCTGTGGTACTTAACAATTTACAAAACACTTTCCCATAAATTGTCATACCTAGATTGTCACGGTGCTTTGAGATGGGTGGGGCATGTACTTGAATATAAACTTTATGAAGGCAGGGACTTTTATTTCTGTTGTTCACTGACTCTCTAGTCCCTAGAAGAATGCATAGCACATAGCTGGTCTCAATGAATCTTTGTTGGATGAATGAAGGAACCGACAGGTTAAAAAGCTGAGCGATTGTTTAGGGCTCTGCAGTTAATAAATGAAAAGATGGAGTCATAGTGTGTTCCTTTGGCTCTTCACCCAGTGATGGCTCGGGAGTATCAATTCTAGTAAAACTATTTTATGTTACTTACTGCATGCTAATAATACATATTAAATATTCTTTATATGTTAGTTGAGTTAATCTGTCCTCTCTCTTCTGATTAAAGGACTTATCATTCTTCTGATGGCTTTTACTTTTAAAAAAAGTATTAAGTAATAAGTTAGCAAGTGACTCTGAGACTGAGACCACATCTCTTCTGTAAGAGGTGATAAGATCTACCCTCTCTTCTTACTTCTCTTCTGAGGAACAGAAAGGAAAAACTGGAAAATGATTAAGATATTTCTGAATGTTCAATAAATTATGTCAGGCAACATCTAGTTGTGATTAACTTCCTGAGTAAAATCATAATTTGGGGGGAGATTCTTTGAAACAAATGATGTTAGTTTTAAGTAAGTGAAATTAGAATTTCAAAAGAAAAGTGGCATAATGAACCTATTCAACTAGGGTGGCTAAAAAATACATCAGAACTATTTTCTCTACCTCTGGTTGTTTACCGTAAACAGTGCTATTAGACAAAACACACACCTACAAACCCACTGAAAGAGGAAGGCACCCCTGGGACTGAGTAATGATACGCCTCCTAGCATCTGATTCCAGCCTGCTTGACTGGACTATCCTGTGAGGAGTACCGTGTCATGACTGGATTACTCCATACACATTGGCTCGTGTAGTCTGTGCAGACACATACCCATTGGTCCACAAAATCAATTCAAACAAATAAACCCTTTTAATCATGACCAGGAGCTTTGCATATTTTCCTGTTTGATCTCAGTTGCTTCTGCTAGTACTTAGTTTAGCTGAAAAACTAGTTTTATATTAAACCGTGGGGCTCTTGTTTTGTTTTCAAGCATTTATGTAGCATTTTATGGACTGCGAGGTATTTTACAGCCCCTGTGCCCGTTTTTTCTACCCAATCCCTTTGGGGGGTAACCACACTGTTGTCATTCCCATTTTACAAACTACAGAAAGGAGGCTATGCAAGGATGAGTGACTAGCAGAAGATCAGATGGTAAGGTAGTAGTTAAAAAGGTATTAGAGGTCATGATCTTTGAATTTCTCGTTTATTTCCTGTTACACTGATTCTTCTCTGGTCTTTTGCTGATCTGTCTGTGAAGGATGTCTGCAACTTAAAAACAGATGGATTTGTTAAGTGACAAAATAGGACATCTGTAAGAAAGTAGAAATGATAGCATATTTTACTGCGAACTTTCAAAGTAAATACATGTTTAGTACAGAAAATATTTTTATATCCAAATATATAGAAACTGCTTAGGCATTCTTAAATTTGAATGGCTGAGATGAATTTGTTTAATAAGCCAAGAAGGCTTGTGATGTCAAAGCTGTTAGGTTGGCTACCTGATTAGATTCATATTATTCCTTTTGGGAAAAAAAGATGGAAATCAGAGTAAAATTTCATGATTTCACATTACACAAACAGGAACAAAGAAAAAAAATGTTGAAAACAGATAAAGCTAATAAAAGAATTAATGAAAGCTTAAAAAATGTGAATTTAGTATTTGTCAAATAGCAGTGTTAAGCTAGAAATGATAAAGTTCTCTGGAATTAAGATTATAAAGGGATATTTAAAATCCTTCTTTTCAGTTGATGTCTTAAAACATAGCCTGGTTAAAATCATAGTCTCTTAAATACTTTCATGGTTCAGATGCTTTTTAAAGGCATTGTCTCACAAAAGAAAGTGCTGGCTTTATTATCAGTTCGCTATTAAGTTGGAAGACTTGTATTTGCATGAAATTCTTTCTCAGGAAAATGTTAATAGGAACCAGAATGTAAATAAGAGGAGGAAGCAGCTCCAGATATTTTCTGTGGTTCTCCTTGATAGGAAAATCTTATGTACATATTCAGTGGGTGAGCCTCACTTGCTCCTGGGCTCAATATTCAACTAATTAGTGTCATTCAAGCATTATATGCCTTTGCATTGGCATTTGATCGAATTTCAAGTCCTCTATTTGAATGAATAGCACCATGAGAAGAATTCATTTTTGTGTTTTATTTAGCTTAGGCTGTGTCTACATTTAATCTCCATTCACGTTAAAGCAGTCTTTTTACTATTCTTCTGGAACAAGGCAAAGCCTCTCTGGCTGTGGCAAATCTATACTTATTTTTGCCTATTACTTTATATTATGTGTGTGTGTGTGTGTGTGTGTGAGTGTCTGTGGTAATTAATTCATACATATGCAGAAATTGATTGCAAAAAAATGCTCTATTAACATAAGGACCCTGAAACCTGGAAAAAGAATAAAATTTATTAACTTTGTTCACATCAGGTCATGCTAATATATTAACGCATCAGGAGACATTCCTCTGGGCAGTATCCTCCCTGGTCTCTTGTTTTCTTTATGTTGCTGTGGATGAAGAAAGTCACCTGCCATAGCAGTAAACAAAGGCTGTTGCAGCCGTCAAGCTATCAGGCACTACAGCCATCCCTGACTATGTACCCTGTGGGGATTCAGGATGGAAAAAAATCAGGATACCTGCCCTAGATAGTTAAGGTGCACATCAAAGGAGTGATTTCAGTGAGCCCAGGCTCTTCTCTTGCATCTTCCCAGAGAAAAGCACTAAATTCATTAGCTTGAGATGTCTGATTTTTTGATGTCCTGACTACCACTTTCTTTTTGTTTGCAAAAACTTCTGTATATCCTGGGTCTTCCCTACCTCTTCAGAACCATTCCTCATAGACATCTGAGAGCTGTCTCCCTGGCTTAAGTCCTCAGTATGTAGACTGAATAAAATATAATTTTCAACTTCTAGGTTGTGCATTATTTTTTCAGGTGACATTGCCATATTTTCCAAATTTCCAAAAATACGGGTGGCTATAATAAGAGCTAAAATTTGTCAGACATTTTCTATATAGCTTTACATGCATTGCCATTTTTAACACTTTGAAAAACTATTCACTACTATTGCCAATTTGCAGATAAAGAAACAGGTTCAGAGAAGACAGAAGACCCTGTCCGAGGTCAGATAGCTAAGAAGTGATCCAAGAGTGATTTAAACATTTAACAGAGTTGAGAGCCTGAGGTTGTAATCCCTATGCTGTATTGAATAAAAAATGTTTTCTAAAGGGAAAAAAAAGTAAAGATGATATTTCAAAAATGAGTATCCATAATTTGGTGGAAAAAAATGACGCACAGAAAATGCGTTTTAATAGCTTCTTCTGTTTCTTGTGTCGACTGAAATAAATGCGCAGCCTAAAAATTAAGAGTTATGTTTTATTTGGCGGGAGGACTTAAGCTGGGATGACAGCCTCTCAGATGGCTCTGAGGGACTGCTCCGAAGAGGTGGGGGGGAGCTAGGATATATAGGAGCTTTACAGCAAAGACCAGGTAGTTGGAACAATAAAAGATTGCTTGTTATCAAAGAAAAACAGGCATCTCAAGTTAAAGAATTTAGTGCTTTTCTATGTATGGGAGGAAGCAAACATTTGGGCTCACAGAATTCATTCCTTTGATAAGCACCTAGCTATCTGGGGCCAGTATCCTGTCCTTTCTTATTCTGAGTCCGCTCAGAGGGCACCATTGTGAGTGGCTGCAGAGGCTGGGCTGCAGGCCTGTCCTCACTAGGGGGGTGGCGGCAGCTGCTGGTGACTTGGTTTCAGCATTCTTTGTTTACTGATACGGTTTGCAGTATTTTTCGTTCACACGTGTATGACTCTCCCTTATACCATCTTGAGGTTGCCTCCCCTTCACAACCATCTTTCACAGGACGGTGATCCTCTTTCTCCTGGGCTATTGCAATCATGTCCTCACAGCCCTTCCTGACTTCACTGCTGCTCTCCCACAGTCAGTCTTGTCCTCACCCAAGCAACTCAACTCAGTTGATGGCACTCTTCTCAAAACCTTCCAGTGGCATAGTACCTTTCAGGGAATGAAAGGTAAAGTCTCGGGAGGCCTTACAATAATCTGCTTCTCATGCCTCTGCCCTTCACCTGCCACATCTGCCCCTGGTGCCCGCTGCTCCAGCCTCAGTGGTGTCCATGCTCTGCCTTGCCCACACCTAGCATCCCAGCCACTCGGGTGTGTGCCCTTGCAGTTCTCTGTACCTGAAACAGACTTTCCCTAGAAACCTGCATTCCTCCTCTCTTGCTTCCTTCATGGCCTTGCTTAAATGTAATTATGGAAAGGCCTTCGCCAACACTGAATGTAAAATAGACACCTTACCACGTCTACCTCACCCTGCTTGTTTTTCCTCATAATACTTAACACTACTTGAAATATTATATATTTACATGTTAATCTGTTTATTATCTATCTCCCTTCTTCCACCAAGGGTTTTGGAGTTTTATATAGACCTCCCTCCATGAGGAAATGTGTTTTGTTCAGAACGGCAATCCCAGCACCTAAAATACGCCTGGGACAAACTGGGAATTCAATAAACACTTGTGGACTGGATTAACTTGGACTGCAAGAGTTATTTTAAAGAGTTATTTTCTATATTCCCTGGGATGAGATTTTGTCCTTAGACATTACAGCATTAGGCACAATTTTAATTTGACTCAATATT